TTCCAGGTTGGAGCCTTCAAGTCCCTGTCAGCAGAAGCCTGTGAGTTAGAGAGAAATTTGCAAAAATCTGACACCTGCCACTTTCCATTGAGCTTTGGGTGGAAAATGTCCCTGGCTTCTTCCATTTTTAATGTCAGACTCAGCCTGGCGGAAGAGATTACCTCCAGGTAAAGTCATTCAGAACAGGAGTTTGTGTCTGCCAAGCCCCTCCTCTTTCACCAGCCCGCTGATGCACCAGAACAGCAACATGTACTTGGGCTGAGCATTGCTTTTCAGTGGCAATGTTTAATAGAGGAGGTGCACGCTGTCTGTAATTGAGGATTGCTGCCTCTCAGATTGTCTGTCTGAAGCTAGAGCTAATGATATCTGAATGAGATTTTTCCTCCGCAGGAATGGACCAAGCGTGATAAAAATGATAGAGATCTGATCACCTCAAGGGACAGAAGAGATGCCACAAGTCAGCAGTTGGGGAACCTCCAGCTCCTCAGAAATGTAACAGCCCCCACATGTGTAGGAAAGGGGAGAATCTCAGCTGTGCAGTTTTGTTCCAGAGGTTATGGGATTATGCATTGTAGCTTTTCCCAGCCTGAGCTGTGTCTTAACCCAGCAAACATCCTCCTCCTATGCAATCTATCAGCACTTCCACAACTCTGTGCTGCAATTAGGAATGAAACAATCATTAAGAAGTTACAAGAATTTGCCAGAGTCTGTTGGGTGTATTCAGCATTAGCATGGATGTTGGTGAGCCTTAGATTTGAAAGTATTTCTGTAAGAAATGGAATGTCGAAACACTTGGATTTTTCTCCCCACATTCTCCAAGATCAAGGTCTCCATCCTAGTAGGGGGTACAGCATGGAAGAACTGGCAAACCTTTACACCTATTTCAATGGGAACTACATAATACTGTATTAGAGAGGTAATGACCTACTGTTGGACAGCATATAAGGTATGCAGATAGCTCCAAATAAAAAGGATCTGCCTTGGAGGTGATGCGTTCAGACTAAGACTCAAGTAATAGCCTGTAGGTTGCCTACAGTTACCAGCCCTGACAGAATACTGAGATCCAGCAGCTCCCTTGCTTGCCTATATACACTTACTGGGGAACCTGACATTCCTCCAGGCCATCTCCAGCCCGAAGTCAAGCACTCAAATTCATCATCCAGCTATCTCAGACACCTAAATGCCCAGTGGAGATGCTTGGGGAAGTCTTGCACATCTGTACATTCCCCACTGAGCTTAATGGATTCCTCTAGTAGAACATAAAGTAGATTTTTTAGTCACATCTTCAGAAACTTGCTTCAAGTGTCATTTTGAGCTGAATATTATAACCTGAATGTTCTAAAATAGAAGGAAATGGAAGTAAAGATGTCATTCTTTCCTCACTAATGTCGTAAGATACTGATGCTCTTTACTTATTGATGTTGTGCTCTCGCTCCAGCCTAGCAATCTCAACAACTTCATGAATATTTCTGTGTGCACAGGAAGGAAATTGTTATGCGTCTGTCCTTACTACAGGGACCTGAAGTTTTTTTCCTTAGAGATGCTGGGCTATTGTAATTCAGCTCTCAAGAAGCTTGAGGAAAACTGTCTTGTCCACCTGCTTTCCTTTCACTAAAACTAAAAGGAAGCAAGGACTGCAACACAATAGTTTACAGAACAGAAGTCATCATAAAGAAACAAACAGCAAAGGAAAGAAATAGCACCATCATTACTGGCAGAAATGTGGTCAAAATCAAGGAAGAAAGAACACACAAAATTGGCCTCTGTCTATGCTTTGGAGGCTCCATTGCTTCAGCCCATCACTGTTCTCTTAACAGCAACCATACATTTCAATCTGTCAACTTACTGATGGTACATTTTGTCCTATCATCCAGATCACCAACATGAATTTCAAAGCACCAACCCCAAGGACACCAAGGAACGCCACTCATTTAGTCCACAGGTAAAGAGCTGCTGTCTGAATTCAATAATACAGCTGTTGCCCATCCCTCTCATTGCTGACCCCTGCATTCCCTGTGTTCCCAGGCACGGCTATAATTTGATCAGTACATCAGGTAAAGCTGTGTCCTTTTATGTCATGCCAATTTATTGGAAGTCTCCCATCTGAATATTGCCCATGCAGTCTTAGGTGATGCAGTGACTCACTCTAATTGCCAAGATCTAGGTCTCGAGTTTGATTTGTGCCACTGAGACTGTCAGAAAAGGTTTCCAGTTGAGCAGTAAGCCTTTCCAAGTGTCTTTTAGCCTTTGCAGAGACAGCATCAGAACATCAGTGACCACACTAGCATCTTAATAGGAGCTGAAAGAACAGGTCTTGGAACCTTCGCTCCTTACAGCTCACATTAAATTAGTAATATACATTAAATGATTATCTTAGATGGCATTATTTAAACATAACCTCACAGGACATTTGCCTCGAGCAAACTGCAAGAGAAAAGCTGAGCAATTATGCACCTCACATATGCATGAGCGTACAACAAGTTTGCACATGTAAGTGTGCTTGGGCAGCTTCACAGGCTTCAGCATTTTCAGAGCATATGGACACAGGGCAGCAACCCAAACCCATTAAGAATGCACTAAGCCAGCACTTTTAAACTGAAACAGTCATTTTTCAACAGACCAAAGTTCAATTTATCAGTGGGTACAACGCATACATGTAATCAGAAGAAAAATACCTGGTGGTACTCTCACCATAGGCACAGCACAGCAATTTGATGCCAACTACAGTGACCATAAGGCATGCAGACTGCCCTGAAACCATCCTAGATTTTTTGTTTCCTTATAACTGACTCCACACATTTGAGCCTGTCAGAACAGTTGTACACTGCACTATATTGATACAAGAGCAGAATAACAACAAAGAGAATATTTCAGCAATGCATTCAAGCTGTTCCAACCGAGAGGCAAAAATGCTGCTCAACCCAGTAAGACATCAAGACCACAGCACACAGTCATTAGAACTAAATACTGAGCAATTTCAATAGAAGCATGCAGGCTTCAGCATTCATATTATTCTTGGGATCTCCTAATCTTGACTCTGTAGAACTGTATGTTCCATTTGGAATTGGTAAAAAATGGATTTATCCTTATGGCTTTGTAAATGTTTCCTGCAACACTGGATACCTAATGAAATTATTCTGTCATTCTAAACATCACATTTAGAAGATTTGACTGATGAAAAGGAAAACACAACTCAAGTGCAACAATTGCAAACATGAGAAGGAAGAAACACATCATGCCAAACCAAAACACACACAACCTACAAACAGCAGCCTTCATCTTATGGTATGAAATCATTTCTAAGCATCTCAGAAAGACCATTTTCAGATAGTTAGCAAAGTAACAGCTTGTTGACTCTCAGAGAAAAGAGCAGATTCCGATACTGTGGGTGTTCAAATCCAGCCACTTAATACCAATAGAACACAACTCCAGTTTATTGCTTCCCGTTGGTTATTCTTGAATAAATAGGCTTTTAACATTCCACATATTGCAAGCAAACTCTGTATTAGCAAGAACTAAACCAAAAGCCCCAGGGACAGAGGGCTTCTGCCTGGCCCCTCGCTTGCAGCAAGCTGGCTGCCATTCAAAACCACATTACCCCCCTCTCATCTTCACTTCGCAGGACGTTTTAACCCTGACCTAGCAGAAAACAAATGTTTTTAGACAGCAAACCCACAAATCTCCACTGATGATTTTAATTCCAAACTTGTTGCCCCTGCTGTGACAGGTCGCTGTAACAGCATGGGGATTAGGACACCTATTAAGCAGTTGGGTGACGTTTTCAGATTTGTTTCCTGCAGTCCTGCAAGCAGCTGCTGCACATCACAAATCTTTGTCCACTTGTAAATTGAGTTAGGTGATCAGCAGCAGCCAGCAGATCGGTTTTACACATGTCATGGTTACAAGTAATGAGATTAATAAATGAGAGAGAGATTTCTACAAATAAGACATTTCCTCGCCTTCTCTGGTTTGGAACAAATCTTCCTGTTTCCTTTTGGAGCCCAAAAACCTTATCCCACTGCTAACTGCTTTTGGGGGATTCAACCTCAATCCTCCTCTAATGTCTTTTCTTTCTTACACTGTATTTATTTGACACTCACTTCACATGCCCAAACCACATCCCTGCTCCAGAAGAAATTTATTTACTCTAAAAACAAAATAATAATTAAAAAAAGCCCTTTACAAATCCTAATTAAAAATGAGTATCTTACTACTTAGATACTCACTTGCTGCAGCCTCAGACTTTGCTGCTCTGCTGTCTTTGCTGTGCTTTTCATTGCATTGCACAGAGCTTTCTGGGAAAATGGAATAATACCCAGCATTAGTTATTTGTTTTTTAATTTAGTCACATATGTGTGGCATGCTCTTCTACTTCATAGTGAGGGTGTGTTCTTACAGGATAAATGCTTGGGAACTAAGCTGTGTGGCCTGAGATGCTTTAAGTCTAAGTAGAGCTTCAAGAAGCTTTCTAGTTGTTTGTTTCCCTATTGAAGATGCACTTACTGACAGCGAGTGCTAAGGCTTGTTGAAGTGAGACTTTTGACTAATATTAAATGACTAATGGTGCTCTTATGATCAATTATTGAAGCCTGCATGGGAGAGGAGAGACTTTCAAACAACTGGTTTGTAAGTAAATGTTTAAGCACTGATGTGGTGCAAAGTAACCTCTCCAACAGCAGACTTGTGAAAGCTGTATGGAGGGTTTTATTTTCTGCCCTAGTATTTCTTCTTGTCTGCTCTGAGCTTTCCCATAAAGAGGCTGACTTATTTTCATGTCTTGCTTTGTCAAAGGATGTTTTGCCAAAGGCTGAACCTAGCAGAGCTTTGCTCAGCAGTCTCACCATGTTCTGTTGATTGTCCTTGTAGGTGGCACCTGTCCTTCTACTGCCTGCATCAAAAAGCTGCTTCACTAACTTCATCTGAATGGAGTAACTTTCTACCCAGAATCTTGGAGGGCAGACAAAAAGAATAGATATAAGAGGGCTGGCTTTCAATTGCCATGAACTAATGCTACTGGAGGAAAACATAAAAAAGAAAGGTGATAATAGAGCTGCATTGTTTGCTTTTTCTTTGCCTGAATGTGCAAGAAAGATGTATGTTTAGGTTTAGAAAGGAGCTGTCTACAAGCTTTCTGCTAGCTAAGGTGTAGGAATGAGCTAAGAAGGGCTGAGCAGGTTCTTGGGATGTATGGGTTTAGGAGTGCATTTTTCTTATGGGACTTAAAGCAATGTGGAGGAGGCCGATGTTGATGTGGAAAGAACAGAGGAACAGGAGAAGCTGATGTGTGGCCCGTGAGGGTTTCTACAGGTGTCAGCTATTTTAATCCAAACCTTAATTTTTCTTAGCATTTATGACAGCAACAGTTCATCTACTCTGCTCTTCCCCTGCTGAGAAATGTATGATATACCTTTTCCATGCTGTGCTGGTGTTGTATGAGAGGAGGAGAAATAATTTATGAGCCTGCTGGAAGAATTAGCGCCTTCTGGGGATTAAAAAAAAAAAGTGTATTGTTGATAAGACCTACATAAGCCCCAAATATTCAGTGGAGGTCTTGAGAGAGGATGTGCTCTGTTAGCGGCATGTTTGTCCTAGCATGTGCCTTCCCCAGCCCTTACTGGGTGACACTGGAGGAACATCCCCTTGCCATTACAGGTATAAATGCCAAAGGGAGAATCCCCACTGAACCCCAAAGTGTGGTTTCCTCTCGAGGAGCTTACTAGAAGGGCTGCAGCATGGGAGCAGGCTGAGGAATGGCTTGTTTGAGATGATGGAGGAGACTCTACATGCGTGGTCTCTTCTGATTCTCAGGCTCCTTCCCTGTTCTGCAGTCACCTCCCAGCTATCCCAGCTCTGTGTTTCTGTGGAGGATGGGCAGCTGGCACTGGGTGACACCACATCTCTCTCTTTGTTTCTGATGCATTTATTCTATGAAAGCAAAGCAGCATGCTGGGTATTTACAGCATTGCTTGGGACATCTTCTGTCAGACTTGTAATGCAGTGAGACAGGCACAGTGCTGCTTCTCTTCTGGAGGGGGTGGGAAAGCATTCAATGCACTTTTTTTCCATTGATTTATGTCCTACACTGAAAATTGATGATATTCCCTCAGATCCACTCAACCATTTGAAAGCAAGCAGCCTCTTTGATCAAGTGTGTGGGGAGAAGTTAAGAGGGTACCCAGCTCCCAGCTATGGTATGTGATGCTCTGTAGGAACTGTTCCATTCACCTGTGCTGTCAGGCTGTATTAGCCAAACACTGTCCATCAATTTTCTCACTGCTACAGAGAATAGATGTTGTGGAGAGGAGTCATGGTTTTATTTCTATCTGTGAAGCAAGGAGGGGTAAAGGAAACTGCTTAAAACATGATATAGAAAGAAAATTTCCATCCATGTTACTTCTTTCAAATGCATCTACCTGTATCTCAGGCCCTACATTGTTTGGGGTAGCAGTGTGTTCCATCTTCCAGTGAATGCTTGCAAAGCTCATACATTAATAAGGAGCTAAGGTAATTAAGTCCTATAGAGCTTCTTATAGCCCCAGTGTCTGTATAGCTGCGGTAAGAGATTGGCACAGAGCAGTTATCTGAACACTCAATCAGCTTCTTGGTTGTTTTCACAGCTCCTGTGGGCTTCCCAGTGGCCAACATTACCCTTCTGTTCCTATCCGTGTGGGGAAGATGCAAGGTCTTGGTTTATCTGCACTGGAGATGTACCCTGGGGTACACAGGTAAAAGTGTGAGCATGCCCTGTGCGTGTGAAGTACAACAGATCAGAGCAGGCGTGTGTGTAAAACAACACCATTCCCATGGCCTTGCTGGAAGCAGTGAGATTTAAAAGCATTTTAGTGAAGCATTAAAAAGTTCAGTTCTGTTTGTTTCGGCTCAAAGGTGGACAGGACTGTCTGTGAGCTCTGCTCCCTATTAGATTGGATTCCTCTTATGGAAACTGTTTTGTCTTCACAGCAGAAAACCTGGTAAAGCTGAGCTAGTATTTCTTAGACATGCATGGTTTGATCAAATCTTGGGGTTTTTCTTCGTAGAGACTCAGATCTACTCAAAAAGGAAAAACAAAACAGAACAAAAAAACTAGATAAGAAGCAAGCCTTTAGTAAGTCCAAAGCTTTAATTCTGGAGCTTATCCCACTACATACACATTGCATATATTGAATGTGTTCATGTGAATGTGTCTGTAGCTGCGAAGAGCATTTGTGCTTTTCCTGAGAGCCGCTAAGGGATGAATCTGGTTCTTTTTCCACGCTGGATTTCTCTGCCTCCAAACTTAACCTCTCCAACGCTCGTAAAATCCTTGCATCTCCTCCCGAGGTAAATCTCTGTATGTTACTGCTAGAAGTTAGCTCTACCTCACCCACATGACTGGTCTTCACTATTAATCCCAGCTGATGGCAGGGAGGGGCTCTTCTGGGAGGCAGCCATGTGGTGAACATTGAGTGCAGTGTTTTCCCCCCGCTTCTCTCCTTTCCTTTTCAGACGTGCAAAATCACTCCGTGCTGCTGTCGATGTGAACTCCTTGCTGCTCTGTCCCTTCTCTTCCAGAAACTCCAGGCCCTGAATTAGCAGCTACAGACCTGTGAGCTCTCGCTGTATCTGGACAGAATATGGAAAAGGAGATGAATATCAGAAGGGAAGAAAGAGTGAAGTTGGTTATTTCTCTGGCACATGGATGCAATTACTCTCGGCGCATTCCAGAGGCGTTCTTTTGAATCCTGTGCAGGTCTGCCTGCCGTTCCTGGGAGAGAGAAGGCAGAAGGGAGGAAAAGTCCCTTTCTCACACGGAGACGGAATGTCTGCACTTTCCATCCTCTTTTTAGGTAGGTTGGCTTTCTGGTGTTTAATCGAACTTCCATTTGCCCCTCTCTGTGCGACTGAAATGCGTTTTTGATGAGCTATTCGGATCTGCGAAGGAAAAAACTTTTATGGCAAACTCCGTTTTCTGTGTTTGGGTTCAGTGCTTTTTGTGCTGCTTTAGTTATTAGCAGGTTGATGGCCGGGAACCTTTTAATATCCAAATTTGTTATGTTTGTTTTTTTGTTTAGGAGTAATGGTCATACAGACCCCTCTTGGAATGTGTTTTCAGTTTAAAAAGGGCAGCGTTTTTGAGCAGCATACCATGAAGGGGTTTGAACCTCTTTGATAAAATAAGGTGAACAAAATGTCTTTGTTCCAGGCACAGTGTCAGATTTGTAGAACTGTTTTGCTTTGCTCAAATATTTAACATTCAGGTTTTTAGAATAAAAAAGGGTTATTGTTTCCAATTGATGCCTCTGATTAAAAACAGATGTGTTGAAGTGCGAGAGGGAGGAGTTAAGGGGGGAAAGAATGGTAGAAGGAGGGGGAACAAAAGGGAGACAGCAAGAAAAAGGGAGGGAAAAAGGCTGCTGAAATAAAGGGGAGGAAAAGGTATAAGTTAATGGTTGAATAGGAGCAGAGAACGGGAGAGAAGACTAAAGAAAGAGAATGGAAGCAGAAGGGTTGAACAGGGCTGTTTGTCTTTACAGCCTATGGGGAAAGGGTTTGCAGTCCTGAGGTCTGTTGGGGAGCTTGCGTATGGGACTGACTCAGAAGCAGTCTGGGTATCTGCATCTCCAGAGGCACTGGGATGTGATGAGTGAGCTTGTGTCTTCATTCTGCTCACCACATAGTGCTGACAAGCAGACAGCTCTGAAATCTGTTGTGGCTGAGCAAATCTGTGATTCCTGGGTCCTCCTCCCCCCCACAGCCCCAGGTACTGGTGTGAATGGGGCACAGGTCTTTGATTCCCATGGAAGAGCCAAGTCCCACAGGGTGATGGGCTGATGTGTGGGTGCACACATAATAAAGGCTTCAGACAGGACGATAGGAGGAAATGCAATGGGGAACAGCCTTCATTCAGTCTCACAGATGTGAAACATGGACCAGCCAGAGTTCTAAATATCCAGAAGGCAGGTGGGTTCTCATAGAGGCCACGTGTTGAAGGCTTGGAGCAGGAGGGATAAGATGCTGCCACAGGATGAGTGTTGTAGTGATAGAGTAACTCTCTTTTGTATGACTGCTGCTGGTTTTATCCAGGGGACACAATGGCCTTTAACCATTCTTCCTTTTTTGGGATCTCTGTAATGCTTACAAGGCAGAAGCCCAGCAGAGAAGACAAGCCATTCCTTGAAGAGCTTTTGCATCTAAGCAAATATCTGAGTTCCTCAGTTTCTCTAGTTGTTGTTCCAGCTGTGGCAAGGGAAGGATGAGCAGCTTCCCAAAGCTCACAGCCAAACCAGGAATGCCTCATTTCCTGGTGCTTTGTTAGTGCTGAACTGCCCTGTGATTTACCCTTGTTGTATTTGTGTTGTCAACGGGCAACTTGGTCATCCAGCTTTGGATCCAGCTTCATTTACTGATAATGGAAGCATATTTTAGGGAACATGAAGTATTGCTGTTTGTGTTCCTGGCTTGTGCCTGGGAGAAAGCAAGGAGATAGGTGTCTCCTTTGCTAACCTGAGAAAGTAGTGGAAAGGTGTACAAGTATCACTGAGCGTGTGCTTTTGGTCACTGTTGAAGTGAAGAATTGTGGAGAATAGGAGTTTGAAGCCAAGGAAGCCTCAAAGGAAAGTTGCTGGTTCAGAACATTCTTATTGATAGTATATATATGGTCCTTGCCTTTGGTACTGTTTACCTACAGGGTAAGTAGGCAGCTGTGTGAGGAGACAGGGAAAAGGAGACAAAGAGTTGGAAGGAGGCTTTAAAAACATGACAAAAATGAAGACTTACTAAATGTGGGCTGGGCAAGACTGTAATCATAGCTCTGTAACAAGGGCAAGGTGGAGGAAGCAGAGAGGAGCCAGAAATCTCCTTTGCCTTTTCCCACCACCCTGTCCAAGTCAATTTTGAGTATTTTTAACAAATCTTCTGCTAAAGATGTATTTGATTATAAGAAAATAAATATAGTTGTGTGATATCTGTACACCTACTTTTGACTCTGGTATTACATGTATCACTTATTGGCTAGTGTATGTGCTCTGCCTTTCAGAAAGCAAGGGGTTCAAGATCCAAAGGAGGAGATGTGCCAAAGCAATGCAGGCATTCAGCTTTCACGTGTCCTGCTACTGAGATGGGATCTTTGCATTAGAACATCAGGGGTTGCTCTCCACAGTGCCCTAATTGCTCCCTCTTGTCCATAGGAGTTTTCCTGCAGGAAAGAATGGCCAAGAGTCTTTTGTATCTTAGCTTCAGGCTCAGTATCTGCAAAGGGGCTGTCTTCATGGTTTCCCTAAAGCTGACTAGCCATTAGGATGTAAGGAAGTCAACCCTCTGTGATATAGCACAGATAGATGCCTTGGGAACCAAGGCTTTGCTCCCTCTCTACGTGGCATCTTTGGGAAAAGATGAGTAGGATTTAGTGACTGATGGTACAGGGAATTGTATGTACCACACTGAGGCTGATGGATGGGGTGCAGCTGGTAGCTCTGTGCACTTAGTCTGGCTTATGATATGGTGTGCTCAATGGGTAGGAACTGGTGTATTACACAGGAGTGATTCTGCTGAAGTGGATGCAGCTGTAATGGCAGAACTGCCTTCTGTGCAGGTGTAGCTGAGCTCTGTTCTCCCAGCTTTAAGGTCAGTGACTCTCTTACAGGGCTGTCCCAGAGGTGCACAGTTGCTGCACTGAACACCAAGACTTGATCGTCTCACTGTGCTGGGAAAGGTTATGGTGCAAATCCCTGTAGTGCTGTTGGCATGAGCAATTGGGTCTGACAGCATGCATTTGCCTAGGTATCCACCAGACTTCTAGCCTGAAAATCCTTGCTGAAATGGGAGCAGCTCTGCAGCATTTGGCAGTGGCAGGTCAGCCTGGGGCTGTGCTTTTCTACCTTGACTCTCAGACTTCTGAGACTTGCTTCCCCTCCTGCTTTAAGAGCGCAGGCATCCTGAATGGTGCCCTGTCATGCTTCCTTAAAGCCTTTCTCCTGAAAACTGCAATATGTTCCAGAAAAGCCAAGAACCACTGCACTGCTTAAACAAACAAACAAAAAACCAGCACTCCTGCTTCTAGCGGGGTTACTGAACTTTTTAATAGACTGCTTCTGCCTGAACTAGTAAAAAGCAAGGGAGATGTTTTAAGCAAATGGAATATTAAACTGATGGGTCTTATTTCTGCTGCTGCTCTGGGTACTTCCCAAATTTCTGAGGTTATGGATATAGGATACATTTGCAACCTCCTGGTTTTCTCATGGCTCTTTCTGTTGGCTTTATCTGTTTGTTTCATGGGGGTATTCAGGTGGGGCGAGGATTTTGTCCCATGTTTTAACAGCACTTAATTCCAAGCTTGGGATTGGAATAGGAAAACATAAATCTGTGGCTGTGAATAAGGCTTCTGTACAGGATTCTGCCGTTGGATTTCATCTTTTCTTTCATTGGGTTATGAAGGAATGCAGGTGATCACTCTTGGTGCATCAAGCCTAAGAGGAGGTTGTTCTTCCAAAGTCGACTTCATAACAGCTGGTAATTGCAAGAGCTCATTTTTTTTTCAGCAGTCAACAAAACAGCAACTGGATGCAAGAGCTGTTGGGAGGTGTGAATTTAGCTCCAGGACAAGGCCAAGAGCTCCCTTCTTTAACAAACCCTAGGGAAAGGGAGCAAAGAGAAGATGTGTGTCCATTTGCTGCCCCAGGGGGAATTCAAGGAGGCAAGACAGAA